GGAATCTGCACGCCAAATCTCAATAGCCTAGCTCCCATAGTTTCCGAGATCTCAGCGTTCATCCGGACAGACGGACAGACGGACATGGCTAGATCGACTCGGCTAGTGATCCTGATCAAGAATATATATACTTTATGGGGTCGGAAACGCTTCCTTCTGCCTGTTACATACTTTCCGACGAATCTAGTATACCCTTTTACTCTACGAGTAACGGGTATAAAAAGTACAACTTTTCTACGTCGATTTTACATTGTTTTTTTTTGTGTGTAGAAAAAATATTTTGTTGCAGAACTTGTGGGGAAGCAATTTGAAACAGAATTTATGCCAATTAACAAAAGACGCTTCACTCAAAATGTTTTATCTTAAAAAGTAATAGTACGACAGCTGTCACTTGTCATTTGAAGGCAAGGGGCTGTCCATATATTGAGTAATCACATAGGGGTAAGGGGGTGTCAAATTATTACGCCTGCGAAACAAACTCATTTTTTACTAAATAAATGGGAGGAGGGGGTGTTTAAAATTGGTAAACTATAATAACGTAATATATGGAAAGACCCTAAAACCTAACATAAACTGATATGGATTTTATAATAAGGCGAGCCTTTCAACTGACATAATACTAATTCAACTGCACACAGTAAAAACTATAGGAACAATAAGAAATATTAACTATTTTTTGAGTGGAGTTCAAAATTTTCTCCGCAGATAATATCAGAATACTATTAGTACCATTATTGAAAGCGAAAATCATAAGCCTAAGAGCACTGGGCACTTTCTCTTTTAAATCCGCGAAGAGAGCCCACTCAAGACCATCAAAACACACAGCTTGTTTGGATCGCTGAAGCCTGAGCTGCCAGTAGTTTGTGCCAGGCAGCCGTTCAGTGTGGAACTTGATCGCGGTTCCCGCTAGAAGCCAGTTTCATTGCCCCGCGGATCTCAGTGTGTCAACGTCAACAGAAGACAATTGGAAATCGAGGCTTACGACCAGTGAAATCTGATTTGAATTTAAATCAGTTACGGCTTTTGTCGTCCCCAAAAAGATGAACAAGCTTCCCATGAAAGCGTGGCGTTCCACAGCCTCGAATCCCAATCTGCGACGAAGTGTGTCCAAAATTGGTGGGGCAGGTTCCAGGCGCCTGGATAGCCGCGAGAGCTCCACGGGCGTGGCTACATGTCCACATCTGGCGGACCCCGAGGAAGCCAGTGCCCCGCGAATACACTCCACATCCGAGTGGCAGAATGCCCTGCCCTACAACCAGATACCCGGGCCGAAACCCATTCCCATTCTGGGCAACACTTGGAGGTAACCAAAATCGAAACCAAAATCGAAAGACTCAAGACGCAAACTCGCTCGCTTTCTCCCAGCGAACTGCAATTGCAATAAAACCAAACACTCTCCGTTTCACTTGACCCAATTAGCTTGGCCAGCTTGTTCGACAATTATTGAATTAGCCAAGATGATGATGTTCGTATTTACCACCGCTTATTTGTTTGAATTTTGTGCAAAAAACACGCAATCCCAACTCATACTCTCCTGTTTAACGTTGATGTATGCTAACTAAATATTTATGGGCGGCTCTAAAGTTGGTTTTTACTAACGATTCTTGCTAAATGTGCGTGTGGGATTCCAGCAATTTACACCTGCCTAATCGTAAGCCTAAATTACAATCCGTTGGACAGCACGTCATCCAGTTAATTAGCGTTCAATTAGCGTCGAATTCAAGGTCGTCCTAATAATGTGTGAAATTTTGCTGCACGCTGACGAATTTTGCTCACAAATCATATTTTTGCGCCATTGGAAAAAGTCAATGCATCTTTCATTGCCATAGAGATTTGTGTAACCTTGACTATTCCATAGATTGATGCCAATAATTGGTCAATACACCATCTCGGATGTGGCCAAAATATCATCGCTGCTGCACGATCGTTATGGCAGAATTGTGCGTTTTGGAGGTCTTATAGGACGGCCCGATCTTTTGTTCATCTACGATGCCGACGAAATTGAAAAGGTAAGCTTCAACGGCACGCCAGTGGCTTGGGACTTTCCGCTTGACCAGCAAACCACGAAGGCACTAAGCCATTACACAAATTTCTGGCACCGTACAAATTGCTCGCAGTTGTCGGATATTAAGCTGTAGTAATTTGATGAATTTTCAGTGCTATCGCAGCGAGGGACCCACTCCCTTCCGTCCCTCGATGCCCAGCTTGGTGAAGTACAAGAGCGTGGTGCGCAAGGATTTCTTCGGGGAGCTTGGCGGAGTGGTTGGAGTGTAGGTGGCGTTTTGCAATTTAAATTAAATTTGTAATTTATCCGCCCTCTACTCAGGCATGGAGAACCATGGCGAGAATTCCGCTCGCGTGTCCAGAAGCCAGTGCTGCAGTTGTCCACCATCCGGCGATACTTACAGCCCCTGGAGGTCATCACCGAAGATTTCCTGGAGCGCTGCGAAAGCCTGCTGGACGAAAACCAAGAGTTGCCGGAAGATTTCGATAATGAGATTCACAAATGGTCCTTGGAGTGTAATTATTAAGCGTAAATGCCTTTTAAAAAACATTTGACCCACAATTTGTAATCATCAGGCATTGGTCGCGTGGCCCTGGACACTCGTTTGGGTTGCCTGGAATCGAATCTTAAACCAGATTCGGAACCCCAGCAAATAATTGATGCCGCCAAGTATGCCCTGCGCAATGTGGCCACTTTGGAACTGAAAGCTCCCTATTGGCGATACATTCCCACGCCTCTGTGGACGCGCTATGTGAAGAACATGAACTTCTTTGTGGGGTAAATACATTCCAAAACAATTTTAGCCACAAACACTAATTTCCACGGTATTTAAGTGTCTGCATGAAGTACATACAGAGTGCCACCGAGAGACTGAAGACCCAAGATCCCAGCCTGCGTGCCGGCGAGCCCTCGCTGGTGGAAAAGGTTATCCTGTCGGAGAAGGACGAAAAGATAGCCACCATAATGGCCCTTGATTTGATTCTAGTCGGAATAGACACCGTAAGATCAGAAGAATCGAAGACAACAACTATAAAATCTAACAAACATCTATAAATCTACTAATTTTCAGATATCCATGGCCGTTTGTTCCATGTTGTACCAGCTGGCCACTCGCCCAGTGGAGCAGCAAAAGGTTCACGAGGAACTAAAGCGACTGCTTCCGGATCCCAACACACCACTCACAATTCCGCTGCTGGACCAGATGCACCACCTGAAGGCTTTCATCAAGGAGGTGTTCCGGATGTACAGTACGGTCATTGGAAATGGACGAACTCTAATGGAGGACAGTGTGATCTGTGGCTACCAGGTGCCCAAGGGAGTCCAGGCCGTCTTCCCCACCATTGTCACTGGTAACATGGAGGAGTATGTGACGGACGCGGCTACTTTCCGACCAGAAAGATGGTTGAAGCCACAGCATGGAGGAACTCCGGGCAAACTGCATCCGTTCGCCTCGCTGCCATACGGATATGGAGCTCGGATGTGCCTGGGTCGTCGCTTCGCCGATCTAGAGATGCAAATACTGCTGGCCAAGCTTCTGCGAAACTACAAACTGGAGTACAACCACAAGCCACTGGATTATGCAGTCACTTTCATGTATGCCCCTGATGGCCCGCTTCGATTTAAGATGACGCGAGTTTAGGTTGTAGATTTAAGATTCCGATTTTATACACTCTCTTTGTTGTAAATAATAGTTATTTACATGCAAGTGTTGAAGCTTTTATACATAAGATTAAAAGGTACTAACTAATCACACTTCTATTTTCTTTTCCACATACGATACCAGTTTTTCACTGTTTTCAGACTCTGATGGGCGTCAGCCTTTGTTTCTCCCTTGAGTTGAAATACTATATCTGGTTTGTAGGAATCGCGGGCCTCTTCCAGAATGGTCCCAAATATTTCGCACTGAATATTCGATGTGAGCTTCTTTTCGTTGTAGTTGCGATCCTTCAGGCGATCGTATAGCGTTGTATTGGGGCAGGTGACCACGAAGACGGCTTGGAACCAGCGCTCCGGGAAGAAATCACAGCCATGGTATTCAACGATGTTGCCGCCCTTGGCCATGATGGGTTCCAAGTGGTCCATCAGCTGAATAGTACAATCGAGTTGTTTAAATGTTAGATAATGGGGCTCCCGCTCACTTTTTCCTCGTCCAGAATGGGACAGTCGTACTCCTCGTCATATTCCTCCACAAAATCGTTTTCCTTGGCGATTTTGGAACAGTCCAGCCACTCAAACTTCAACTGGGACGCCAGACGTTCGCATAAATACGATTTCCCTGCACCAGGAGTCCCTGAAATTACATTAAATTAATATAAAACATAAACTTTAGATAAGCATCAGCGAAGCACACCCGTTATTAATATGTTTGGCTTGGCATCTGGTGACAGTTCCGACATCTTGATTAATTACCGCTAGATTACGATTTTATAAAGATACCTAATAGGATAAATATTGTTTGCAAACTCTTATTTTGCTTTAAAAGGCCAACACGTGAGGGCAGTTCAATTGTTTATTTCTTAGCTATGGCATTGTGCTGCCAACTTGTCTACTTTTGTGGACCAGCAGGGATGCCACTTGGTTTCTGAGCCCAAATAGAACTGCCAGACTATTTGTTGGCGCAAAAGAAGCTACAAATTTAAAAAAATTAAAATAGTGCATAATAATTTAAGTGTGTCGACTGCTGTCCTTTTTTAATTGATCTTATAATTTATATTTATGCCACCTTGACACAACATTTTTAATTTATTCAAATGGTAAAAAAAAATTGTTGTATAATAATTAATAATGAGATATTTATCTGCCAGACTACTGATTTGGATATTTTTTTTGATTACATTTTGATTACAAAATAAAGAACAAAGAGTTTCATCAAATCCTTTAATTTATTAGCACCAAAACTAACTAACGTACTAATTCAGACGTGCGTAGGGGCCTTTTTGGCGTCGTTTTGCCTATCTTCGTTTGGCCGAGAACCGTTGCATTTTGATAGCTCTCTCTTTCCTTTATTCCCTGCGAGCACTGAATCTGTATCTCTTCCTCTGCTTTGACATTCCTCCTTTTTCCTTCGTTCTCGAAAGCTAGAAGGTTCATTTCCATTTATGAGACTGAAACTGTCCGACAACTTGAACGGTTCGGAAGAAAAGATGGAGCCGAAAAACGATCCGGAGAGGCGCCAGCATGTGCCGTACATCCTGAATGGGGAGCTGTACCGCATCGAGAACCAAGTGGGCGACAATGTTACGGTCAAGTGCTGCTACTGTCCGCCGGATCGGATTTATCGCGGCAGCGTGCGCTCGACTGGGAATTTTCACATGCACATAAAGGTGGGCACCTTGAATATTTTGCACTGGTCACCAGAAAGATTTTCATGTTTTTTTACCCTCCGAGAGCAGAGGCGCCACAGCTCGTTGCTGGGAAAACTTCACGAAATGAAGGTGGCTGCCCTGGAGGAGCGCCGTGATCGCATCATGAAGAACCGGCGCTTTGGAAAGCCGCTCAAGAAGACACCAACCCCAACCCCACTTCCAACTACGAGTGCAGCTGCGCAGAGTAATTCCGGCGTTTTTCTGGACATCCAGGCGACTCCGGCGGGCAACGAAAGCCACGAGCTGAAAATCAAAACGGTGTTCCAGCGCCACAAGCAAGAGCAAGAGGGAGCCACTCGCCGGGTAAGGTTGCGTGAGCAGGAGCGAGATGTCAACATCTCACCTTGCCAGTCACCGTTAGAATAGCCCCATATTTACATACAGACATCTACTGTATCTGTTCGCACGGCGAAATAGCTCAATGAAATTTGGCGCTTGCATTGGTGTGCTGATCTATCTATCTCTTTCCAGTCCGGAGATTCAACTTCAGATAACAGCGTCCCAGCTAATCCACCAAATATCGCCAACAGCCTTGGTGTTCTCGTTCAGGACGTAAGTAGCTCAGATAAATATAGTCAAAGTCATAGCAAATCATTTTCGATTCAGAATTTCTTTCACCTGTATTTATAAATTTACTGACTGTAAAACTAGTTTAAGCTATCCACTTTGAGTGGGGGAGAATCGAGTTGTTTTAAAAGAATCATTCCATAACAAAATTCTTTTAAGGGATTTATCTAGCAAAAACTTTAGAAACCAAAATGCAATTAACACTGATTTAGAAATCAATGTCTATATTTTTTATGAAAGTGGTTTCATAATTTACCTTTTTAGGACAACTTTTTTAAATAATTTATATTATAAATTCATTAATGACTTTCGACTTATAATTTTGTTGTATATTGGGTGTATAGGTTGTTCATTCAAACTTAAAACAATGATTTCGTTCTTTGGGATTAAACCCAGGTTATTTTCAGCCTAAATGTCGTTCTTACTCTAAAAAGAAAATGTACTTACCATTAAATGTGCTTTTTAAGGAAATGTTCATCCATTTATTTTCAGCTCCCAAATATCTCGGTGGAGACGCTGCCCCTAGGTTCCTCGGCTGCTGCGGCTAGTGTATCCTTTTTGGGTCGTCCCGTCAAGCCGGAGCAAGCCATTGGCTCACCATTCCTGTCTGATCAGCCGACAGCCATAGATTTGAGCCGGGCTCCATCGGTGCAGGGCGAAAGCAAATCCAGCGGTTCCCTGGCCTCCTCGATGGAGGACGTGTCCATGGGGTACTCGCGCTCCCAATCAATCTCACAATCGATGTCCTTGACCCACTTCCTGGATCACCCCCAGCGGGATGTCCTGCAGCGCTTGGAGCGCACAATGGCTCAAATCAGCCAGGAATTGCACTGCCGCAACCGAATCGAGCATAACCGCATGCTGTTGGAGGCGGCCAAGTTCAAGTTTCTGAATCCAAATTTTCAATTTGAGCCCAATCTATAAGTGGGCCCTCTAAAAGCAAGTACAGTGCCTTTAAGACATTTGTTTGTATACATTAAGGTTTTGGCTTTAAATTACCAACTCAGCCCTGTTCTATAAACGGCCCATTCAAAAGCTATCATAATGGAATAAATAAATACGTAAACTTTAAGAATCTCTGTAAATATGTTTCCAATTAGAGAAGCTCTTACACGGAACCCTTAGGAAAGACAGATTTTTTTTTGTTTTCCGCATCTATTGCAATAAAGTCTAAAAAACGTATTCAGTTGTCTGTTTTCAAAACTACGCTGCATGAAAAAGCCCTACAAAAATACTCGTGTGCCACACAATCGGATTGTTGGTATTTCTGAAAGGACCGCAGACGGTTACACTCAGTCGGCACTGTTCTGTTTTTTATTGTTTGTTGTCAAGCTCCTGTGCCATTATTGTTTTAGATAATGGACGATAGGAAAACTTTAATTCGTTTAGATGATGAGACTAGTGATGATGATGCACCGACCGCGACCCAAAAAGAGATGGGTCAGAGCTCGAAACCGATACAAGATTTCGGAGTCAACCAAAGCGAAGAACCCAGCTGTAGTTCTTTAGGTAGAGGAGCGCCCAGTAATTCGGGGAATAACCACTTAATAGATGATGATCAGTCTTTGCTATTAGGGAACAATTCATCGCCAATTGCTCCTGAGATTGTAAGTAATTAGCTAAACAAAGTGGAATGAGTCATTCATTGGTCTCTCAAGAGAGCTTATCTTTGGTCACTCATATTAATTTTATTACTTTATGCACTTTGTTTTTCAGCCAATAAATGGAGGTTCAAATGGAAATATCAACAATTTGGAACCCATTTTCCATCTGAGATCCCGCACAGCAGCAGCTTCAACTCCCAATTACGAGGTATATTTTAGTATATGGGGCGGAGTTAGAACTGCAAACCTTATCAGTAAATTTCCACTTCCAGAGCTTGGACTACGAAGTCTGCGAAAACACGCTCTTCCAAGAGGAAGAACGAAAGAGGCTCACAGAACGCTTCTCCCTGCGCAAGGATGTCATAAGATGGATCATATTTATACAGATTGGCATTATCACGGCGCTTATAGCTTGCACCATAGATATCATAATCGAGGAGCTGTCGGAACGGAAGTACACCTTCCTATTCAATGGTACGTCGAATTTACTTCACTTTTGATGATCCCTTTTGAGAAATTCTATAGCTTGAGTTTGGATAGATTTTTTGATATTAGAAATATTCGTGTCAATAAAAAGTAAACTATAACTTGTTTAATATCTAATAATGTTTAAGAAATGTAAATTTTCCTTAAGTTCCACTTTTCTAACTATAAATTTTAAATTTATTTTCAGCTGTCCAAAAAAACGTTCCCCTGAGCGACTCCAGCACAGGCGACCTTGTGATCCCGTACCTTTACTGGCTTCTATTCAGCATTCTGCCAGTGGCCTTTGGAGCAGCCATGGTCACCTACATTGAGCCCATAACCGCTGGCAGTGGAATACCGCAGGTGAAAAGCTACCTGAACGGCGTAAAAATACCGCGAATTGTACGGATCAAGACGCTGGCTGTGAAGGCAATCGGCGTGATAACCTCGGTGGTGGGCGGATTGGCCGGAGGAAAGGAGGGTCCTATGATCCATGCCGGCGCCGTGGTGGCTGCCGGAATCTCACAAGGCAAGAGCACCACGTTTGTGAAGGATTTCCGTGTGTTCAAAGCATTCCGGGATGACCACGAGAAACGTGATTTCGTGTTGGGTGGCGGAGCAGCCGGAGTTTCAGCAGCGTTCGGTGCACCAATTGGAGGCATGCTGTTCTCCTTGGAAGAAGCTGCTAGCTTCTGGAACCAGAATCTCATTTGGCGCACACTAGTAGCCTCCATTATCAGCGTATTCACCCTGAACATTGTATTATCAGCTTATCACGGCCTAAACGATTTCACTTTCACGGGTCTCTTCAACTTGGGCAAATTCGATACGCCGTTGAAGTTCGACTACTTCGAGCTGCCAATCTTCATGATCCTGGGTGTAACTGGAGGATTACTTGGAGCCGCCTGGAACTCGCTAAATACAAAGATCAATAAATTTCGGAAGCGCTTCATTCCCTGGAAGATTGGGAAGGTAATTGAAGCTGTCGTAGTGGCCATGCTGGGCGTTACTCTGGCTTGCCTGATGATCTACTTTATCAACGATTGCCGACCCCTAGGCAACGATCCAACCAACAATCCAGTACAGCTGTTCTGCGAGGACAACGAATATAATGCGGTGGCGGCCCTGTGGTTTCAAACACCAGAAGCTACAGTCCGATCTTTGTTCCACGATCCTCCAGGTTGGAGTCCATTATAGGGGGATCAATTATATTTTTAACTTTTTACTTTACTCACTTTCAGGATCTCACAAAATCCTAACGCTAGCTCTGTTCACGGTCGTCTACTATGTGTTATCCTGTGCCACCTTTGGTCTTAATGTCTCCTTGGGTGTATTCATCCCAACTGCTCTGGTGGGCGCTGCTTGGGGGCGTCTTTTGGCCATGCTTACGTTTTACATGTTCCCGCAGGCGGTAAGTAGTTCAAGACTGATTATCAGAAAATTATCGAATGCTTTCGGTTTTTAGGAGTTCCTTCATCCGGGTAAATATGCTCTGATAGGAGCAGCCGCTAATTTGGGTGGAGTGCTCCGGATGACCATTAGCTTGTCGGTTATTCTAATGGAAACAACTGGCGTGGAGAGTTCCTTCTTCTTCCCCCTCATCATTGCATTAATCACCGCCAAATGGGTGGGAGATTACTTCAATGAGGGCATCTACGATACACAAATCCAAGTGAATCATGTTCCCATGCTGACTTGGGAGCCGTTGCCGCAATACAAGGGCCTGAAAGCACACGACATTCTGAGTAGTCCTGTGGTCTGCATCAAGCTCCGCGATAGCGCTCATTACATATATAAGATGCTGAAAAAGTGTGATCACAATGGATTTCCCGTTGTTGATAGTGTGCACGGGGTAAGAATATTAAAAGTATCTATATAATTCAATTTTTAATATATAATTTATGAAAACTTTACAGGATCGTCGTTCAGAGGGTCGCGTATGTGGGATCATCTTGCGTTCCCAGCTGATTGTCATTTTGTTGAAGTCTTTGTACGTGGAGAACAAGCGGTTCTGGCTGCCAGAAACATCTATTCAGACTTTTAGAGACGTTTACCCGCGATACCCATCAATCAAGGTAACGAACCCGTTTAACATAAATACATCATTTGGTTTCATAAAAATAATTATTTTAGAGTGTGCGCAAGCTAGATGATAAAGTCAATTACACTGTGGACTTGTCCATGTTTATGAACCCTTCACCTGTTCGAGTCAATCCAGTAAGTCGTTTTCAAACTTTAAACTCTTAACCTTGCACTAATATACACTTGATTTCTAGCACGATTCGGTTCCAAGAATTTTTCAGATTTTCCGAGCTTTGGGTTTGCGTCACTTGTTAGTTATCAACAATGAGAATCGCATTGCAGGCATTATAACGAGGAGAGATTTTATTTACAAGTAACTTGTTTGCATTCAATGCATCTGTTTATGTATGTCTATCGAATGCCAAAAGTGTCTGTAATAAGAGATAATAAATATTTTATATACCTTTGTAATCCGCGCATTTCCTTACATAAAAAACGGATTCACTTTTGATAAACTTTTGTTTTAATCTGCTCATTACGTTTTTACAACTTACTTTAATGACCTTAAACACGTAAAATATAATGAATAGTATTCACAAGGAATTGTACAAGGTTTGTGTGGGCGTTCTATTTGATTTGTATAAAAAATACGTTACATTTATGTAAAAGTAAAAGGGCGTGGCTTTATAAAATCTTAAAAGGCTAAACAGACGTGTTCTGGATCCTAATTGCTAGCACAACTGTCTCGATTGATTTGCAGTGCAAACAAACGTTTAAAATATACGTGACTTATAATGTGGGCTTGCGATTGTGTTTAAGGTGTGTGTGGTTTTATATCGACTTTAGACCCTAATGTTAAAAGCGCATCAATAAAACAAGACGCTGCCATGGTAAAACTAATTCTAAAAGTTATGTAACGTAAGCCTATAAAATTCTTATTTAGGAGCAAAACGCCTAAGATTAAATGACTTTTTGTACAAAATGAAGCAGAGCTTTCCTTCGATCAAATATCCAATATCCAATACCCGATGCCATGCCGGACTTGCACCAGTCGATGTGGGATCGTTCTAGCTGCAATCTTAATGACCGCGTCCAGGAACTGGTATCACATTTAAAAACAAACTTTTCTTCCAATGCTGGAAAATCCTCCAACGTCTTCTCCTTTTCATCGTCATGTGAATGAATCTGGCCAAGCAGCGACTGCTGCTGCTATTGTTGCTGCCGTCCTTTTCGGTTAGCTCTCCATGGGGCGCACCTGCTGCAGTGCCTCTGCATTTGGTGTGGTCACTGCTGCTGCAGCACTATTGCAATGCTGCTGTTGTGGGGGCGAATTTGCATTGGTGGTCGAGTCCGCGGACAAAATGCTACTGCTGCATACCGAGTGGGAGGTCGAGGATACTGCTGATGAGGCCAGCACATTGTTTACTGCCGAAACAGTGCCTGGTGGCGCGGAGTTGACCGCCTGGACTGATCCATCTGGGTTTTGAGCAGCGCCACTCATTAAACCACTGACTGCGGTCTGCACCACCTTATACCTGTTGTAGATGCGATACGGCGTCTTCGAAGTGTCCTTCTGCTGCATCGTCTTAGTCTTGCTTGCGGATCCCCAGCCGCTGGCATTGATTTGGTCCGCCGTCTTGCCCAGCAGCCAGTCGATGCAGTTCTGCTGCAGTTGCTCGCTGACATGCTGCTGTAGCCATTTGTTTACGTAGGTCTGGAAGTGGGCGTATTTCGCCTGAGTGACGCGGCAATGACTCTGTAAGGGGGAAAGGTAAAATGGAAAATCAGTAAGGCTATTATGAAATGATCTACAAAGTATGGCTTGGTTTCGTTTTTTCCATTTTAATTTGGAAACCGCACCCGAACGAAACACTCACCTTCCTGGCACGACGCACTGCATCGTACTTGAGTAGCTTGAGATTCTTGCTGGTCACAAAGCATCGCCCGTTGCTGGGATTCGTGGTGATCTCGTCGCGATCAT